AATCTATGAAGGGATACAATAATATTATACTGAGTATCACCAGTGAGTAGGCAATTTAGAAATGATATAGCTTTCAGCTGAGAGATGATTTGAGTATATCTTGTGATTTGTTGTTTTCATCTTTTTTGTCTTTAAGAAACATTCTTGTCTATCCCATCATTTATTCCATCTATTTTAATATATGAAGCATATTATGAATTCATTATCTATATTTAACACACACACTACTATACCTGTTGCTTATGTCTTACAAGCTACTTGCTTCTTCATTAGCTAAATCCCATAAATCAGTTTACTTATGTTTTATGCTTCATACATCTTAGAAGTTGTATTCATCCTTTTTGTTTTTGTTTTAAACAATACCACGAAAAGTTCTTAAATAATTCAGCAAACACTTGCTTTGCATTACCTTAGCAAGTTGTGTGGGTTGTCCTTCAAATTATCTGGAATTCATCAACTATTATACATCATGCTTACTGAAGTAATCCAGATGCAGACTTCTGTCATATCTTTCATGGATTGTTACAGAATTCTAACTCATCTCCCTGCTTCCATCTTTCTCCTATCAGTCAGTTTCCCACTCATATCTCTCCCTGATATTCCAAGTATCATCAAAGTTTACAGCTTTTATACTATTGTATTTTTTAAAAATAATTTTGTGGTTGTGGAAGGACAACATGCCTTTATTTTATATGTTTATTTTTATATGATTCTAAGGATTGAACCCAGTGCCTCACATTTGTGAGGAAAGTGCTCTGAGCTACAGACCTAGACCCTGTATTTCTTTTTCTTGGAAGTCTCTTCCCCAGATACTCATGCTTCCTTTCACTCTTTACTCAAAATTTAACTTCTTAGTCCTTCCCTTACTGCCCAAAATAAAATTTCAAGTTCCATTCTACTACCTATTGCACATTACTCTTTGCCATTTTATTTTTAGCACTTATTTAACTATCAATTTTAATATTTTAATATTTGACATACTATTTTAATTATTTAAGAAAATACTTTCCATTGAAATATTTTCTGTGTTTCTTTATTGATGTAATATTTAATCTTACAATGATACCTATATATAGTAGGTGATTAATAAATGGTAAATGATTGAATAAATGACTACTATTCCATGCATGAGTAACCCCATATATAAGAACTAAAATGAAGAATTTAGTGTTACTCTAATATTAAGATTACAGGCTTTGAGTAAAATGAATCTGAAATAGACTTCAGGATCTGTCACTTATTGATTAGGCATTGAAATATGGATAGCACTGGCCAATTTGTAAAGGAAACCCAAAGTCAACCTTGTTGAAGGGATGCATAAAAGCTAAGATGGCAAATATGTTGCTTCTTAGAGAGGAGAAGCAGTGACTTAATTTGGTTGAAGAAAACATAAAACACATGAGTGTGTAATAAGCATGAAAATGAAAATCACTAATGGATCATGATGCTTTTAGAAGAAATTAGGAATGGATTGCTATATGGACAAATTAAAGTGAGGAAAATTTTAGGAATAATATTATTAGGGCTATGAATAAAGAAATGGATTCTGGTTTAGAGAATGTTGAACTAAAGGTAGTGATATCAATTGTAAGGTTGTTTCTGTAATCTGATAGACATGTACTAAGAGAGTGAATCAAAAGGGCACCTATGAAAATTGAATGGACATAACTTAATTGAGAAATGTTTCAGAGAAATTATTGGCTGGATTTGTTTTATTATTGATTATCAGATCAATACAGAATAGAAAGATTATGTATCATATGTAAGCCTCAATGACTATTGAGTCACATCCTCATTCACATAACAAAAAGGACAAGAAAAAGGTCCATGAATGATGAAATAAAGTTCACTTGGGGACAATAGTAGGTTGAAACATAAATGTCCCTCAAGACATAGGTACACTTCAGAGATTTGAAAATGAGTTGGAAACATGGCTGCAACTCCAGAGAGACTGGAAGTGTTAAGAACACAAATACAATGGTCATTTCCATTCACACTGAATACAGGTGACCAAATCATATAGATAAGGGAATGAACATACAGACAGAATGGACAAGGGATATTCCCAGAGATCCCTATGCTGAGGGAGTTGGAAGAGGAGAAAGAGCAAGATAATGAATGACATATGGAATTGTAATGGGGGAAGAAGAAGAGTCTACTGAGTGTATAGACTTTGAGAAAAGTGTTTCAATGATGGTGAAAGTCATGAAAGCTTAATAAAATAATTTCATTCTGTGACTAAGAATATTTATTGTTAAGTAAATAGATGAGTGAATAAAGCATATGCTACACTACAGATGGTAGGTAAAAGAAAGGATTGCATAAAGGTATACAAACAAGACAATCAGAAGATGTTTGGGAAAGAGGCATGTGAAAGAATTCCCCATGCAAAGACACTTCGCAGGGAGAATTCCAATTTTATTGCAAAAGGCTGTGTGCTTATCTAGAACTAAGGGGGAGATGGCAGGGCTTAGATAAATGGCAGGCCAACGTTTATTGGCAAGTTCTTCCAGATATCAGCTCCGGAGCCCAGGAATTAGTTCTTATTGGGGCCATGCTGGGGCTTTTTCTCTGTACATGGATGTGTGCATGCAGAAGTTTGGGACAGAGTGAGGACTGAGGAGAGATGGACACATTGAAGATAAAAGAGAGATTGAGGATATGTTATAAAAGATACAATTAGCATAGAGTCATGATAAAAATCATTAATAGAGGAATTACACACAATTATAGAAAGGAAGTCATTAATTGTGTGTGGCTCACACCAAATATTATTTCTTCTTGGGAATTTATGAGGATAACTCTTTTATAGCTAGGGATCCTTTCACCTCAACAAACTTTAATGAGTATAAATCCCATTTTCCAAGTTAGGAACAGAAAGATAATTGATGTTTGTAAGATACTGAGACCTGTGAATATTATTGATAGCTTGTATGTTTTGCACAGGAGACAGTCACTTGGATGTTCCTCTCCTTTTATGTAGAAAATGTTATGCTTCTTTGCAGATCACCAAAAACCTGACAGAATCTAATCCAATCTGTCTTTGAGTTCATTGGAAGTGGAACAGACACTACCTGTAGGGGGCAGTGGAGAATCAGTCCTTATAAGATTACGGAAAAAAAATTTCTTAGTGTGACTATTGAGGACATAAACTTATCAAAGTTAACTACGTGTAACATCATCTTCTGATGTGCTCCCTTTAGTAACCATCAGAATATGTCATTACCTATCTCTTATGATTTGTGCTGCTTCTCTTCTAAAAAAAGAGGCTTATTTAAATAGCCTATGTTAAATGACACAGATAAGCAAATTCAACTGAATGTTTTATGAAATATTATATATTTAGTAATATTTACATGAAAGTAGACTGAGCATCCAGTTTGGCAAAATTTAAATCCATTTACAATTATCTCATTAAGGAGTCATACCTGAGCAATGCCTTAATGAGGTGGTAATGAGGTACAAATATACTGCCAGAATAGACATTGGAGAAACCCTTCTAGAAAAGGCAATTCAATAAAGGGATAATGAGGGGGAAAAATCTTATATCTTTCTTTTGGTTTATGCCCCTTTATTTTAGGATGTACTCCCTACTCTGTAAGCGTTGGTGGTTTTCATGGGATAAGAGTGATTAAAAAGAGCCTAGTGAGTAAGGGAAGAATAAATAGATTTAAACTTTAAATGAAGATTAAAATAGTATTTCCCACCCATAAGGGATATTAAAAGGATTAAATTAGTTCACATGTGTCATATATGAAAACACTCAATAATGTGTGACAGAATTGTTATTTTTAACTGTCTAATAAGGAAACTGGTTGTTTCTTGTTTAAGATTATACAACTCATCTTTTTGAAAACTTAGAAAATGAATTGAAGATGAGGCTGAGTCACAAAAATCTTTCTCACTCAGTCTCCTTTATTTGGCTTTGCAAGAAACTAGCCAAGGATACAGGCGTAACTCTGCACTAAAATAGATGTTTCCTTGGGGGAATCTTCCACAGTTTAGAATTTTCAGCCTCATACATCAATTAACTGACAAATGAATTGCTAATGATATGTACAACACTACCTTAAAAAAATCAATGAGTCTCCAAAAATGTGTACTTTCAAATTTACCAATAGGATCAGGTGAATAATTTCTAAACTCCTTTTCATAGTTCAGTTCTTATAAAAAACACTTCCTCAAGAACTTTTCAAACTACTCTAATGAGCCAAATGAAGCATTTTTTTTTTAAAAAAAGAAATTCTTGCAAATCTAGCAACTCTAGTATGTATCATTTCCATACTCTAACACATACAAGGCTATGATTTCTTATATTTTTAGATTTTTCTACAATATTGCAAGAATGGAAAACTCCACTGAGAAAATCCCTCATGTAGAAACTATTAAATAGTGCATAGACTCTGACCTGGTTCTGGTGTGACTTTTTTAAAATAAATACTTCATATACTATTATATGCAAGGTTTATATGTGTCTGTGTGTGTGTGTGTATGTGTGTGTGTGTGTTAAATAAGCAAAATTAAAAGAGATGATATGAAGAAGTTTGCAGTTATATTTTTCATAAATTTACTTTAAGAGAAGAAATATATAAAAAACTTCTAGTTTCATTTATAGATCAGATTTCTAGAAAAAGCCCCCAAATATTATAATTAGAAATGTTCATGTATTTATCCACACTTTTTATAGTTACAGATTTAAAACTGTTAATGATCACCATGTTCTTTATAATCATCGGTAGCCTTTGTGAAAGAGAACCTTAGAAGTAATTATATCATAAAAGTACAAGTCACTATTTCAAGCATCTTCATTCATGAAGAATCAACATATACTAAACCTAACAAAGCAGCATCATCCGAGAATCTGATAAGACTGGGGAAAAAGAAAAACAGCTTGAAGAGAGAAAAAAAAAAGCGCTGACAATTTCAAACAAACAAAAGCAAAGTCAGATTATCTTGGAAGAAGTTCTCTGTTTTGTAGAAGACAGTAAATGTTGACAGACCTGTGAAGGAAATGGACTCCGCGAGGGGTCAGAGGTGGTGACATAAGCAGCCTGTGTGTAGGCATAGCTCTTGAACCGAGGCTTAGGCGAGGAAGATGTTCGCTCATAGCCCTGTGCTAGACTGACCGTAATCTGCAGAGAAGGGTTTTGGGGAGGGTGGACAGACAGGAGGATATATGGTAAGTAACCCTAGAAGGACTACTTTCCAACATGCCAGAAAATAGAACATTAAATGGAAATGATGGATGAAATATTTAATGCTAAACAGAGATAAATGATATCAGAAACTGATATACCTCAAGAATTGTGATGCTTACAATTCTTGTGGTACAGAACAGATAATCTGGGAAGATAATGAAGGTGGGTTTGAACCATGCACATTTCAGAGTGACACAACTCCAGTATTTATATGGTATGATGGTCTTCAGTCTTACAAAAATAGGCATCCAAAGGCAATTTTCTCTGAACCCAAAGTAAACAAGGCAAAATTCATCAGATCAATACCCTGGAAAGGACTGAAGCTTTCATAAACTAAATATAGAACTAGCTCAGTAGAGTGCGAAAATTAGGCTTAAGAACTTTCCGCACCTTCAGCAGACATTTTGCTAAAGGCTTTTTCATCACTGTTTCTATGAAAAATACAAGAAAACACCCCAAATTACCCACTGTTGAGAGCAAGAACAAACCAATTAATGGAAGAACCCCATGCAGTCTATAAAATGATTTAATAAATAATTTTATCATATGTATTCTCCATTTAATTTAAATTAGAAATGTTTTTAATCACGTTTCAATAATATTAAACTTTAATAATTAAAAATTGCTAATGCATCAATAAATTGCCTCCAAAAATTTTAAAGTACATTATTAAATAGAGAATTTGCCTTTGTTCTTGCTCTGGTAATTTACTCTTTACTCTAGTTGATGGAGAGTTTGAAGTTTAATATACACATAAGCCTGCCTTTTGTTTTATTTCAACTTAAATATGCATACAATTTAAATGTAATATATTCTGTATTCTATATTCCTGTAATACAGTGCATATCAATAGTAGAGTATTTTAATAATGTGCTTTAAAATAATATAGTACATATCAGATGAAATTTAAAGGCTTGCATTATCTCTTTTTGTCACTGACTTTCTATGTATATGCACATTATGCTATGTATACATATGATGATATATGTGTGTGTATATATATATGCATGCATTAAATAGGTATTTTTATGTGTGATACTTAAGAATGTATATAAAGTAGAAAATGTCTTTGATATTAGTTGTCATTTAAATCCTTTACCTGTTGAGAATAGTGCATTTGATGATGTAATTCAAAATGTTCTTCTCTAGTCACTTTTGAAGGCCTCGGCAACATTTCAACTTCCTGGATGGCTTCAATGCTCACTTGTTGAGGCAAAACTTGGAAGAGTGATGTGATGTACATTAAGATGGACTTCTTATCCGGATAAGTGGTAGCAACATCTGTAAGCACATTAACACCACACATCAATTTTTGGTTTCTATATTTGAGACTGAAAGGGTAATGAACAAATCAATGTTACAGGAAGAAGACAGATTAATGAGCACTCGATTGTCCATGAATGTCCTCTAGAGACTAATTAGAACATGATAATCAGGCCTAAAATATCCCTGCAATTTGGCAAACCAATGAGATGAGCACTAAAGTTAATTTCTTCTGCTTCTTCACATAAAAACTTCATTTTGTAATTCTTTTTCCTAACTCAAATTGCCAAAACTCACCCATCTAAGAGACTACCTTTCATTAGAAACAAAAATAAAATATTACACTTTCCTTTCCACAGAAAGTTATATTAGCATGTCAATTAAGATGGTGCATTTGTGATTAAACAATTATACAAAAGGGTTTAATGCCTTGGCTCCTAGTAAACAAAACTGACACCTCTTTATTAGATTTTTGCTGGTATTAAAATATGTAAAGAGCTAATTCTGATTCTGTGTAAAAATGAGCCATGTATTTCCTCAAAAAAATAAAACACCATATATCATGTGGATAATGATTAGTAATATTCACTAAGTATATTAATGATATTCGTTTCCCTTATGGTGCATCTGTTAAAATAGGATGTTACTTTCCTTCTTGGACTTTCAAAATATATTTAAAAGTCCTCCACATAGAATGACGCTGACTTCATGTCATTTACTATATCCAGGGAGTGATATCCAGTGAATATCATTTATAATATTCAGTGAGTTAAGTGTGCATTATCAATAATAATTTGTAACACCATATATAAAATGGAAACTCCTTTGAAAGATTCTTGTGCCACTTGGCATTGAAATTTACCCACTGTGCTCACCCCAGGGAAACAAGATGTAAAAAATATCCTTTGTGTGAAGTGAATCATTAATTCTAGAAGTAGTAAAATGCAAATAATTGCATTTTACTATTCAGTCCTTAAAAAGAAGTAAATTCTGTCATTTGTAACAACATGGATGAACCTGTAAGACATTATGCTAAGTGAAATAAGCCAGGAACAGAGACACAAACAATATATGATCTTATTCATATGTGGAATCTTAAAATGTTGAACCTGAAGAAGCAGAAAGAAGTGACAGGTTTCCAGAAACTGGGAGGGGAGATTGGGAAAATAGTGGCCAATAGATTTAAAATTTGAGTTAGTTGCAATCAGCTCAATGGATCTACTCTATGACCTAATTAATAACAATGTATTATATCATTAAAGATTGCTAAGCAAGTAAATTTTAAGCAATAACCACAAAAAAACATGATAAATATGATGTAATGAGTATGTTAGTTTGATTTAGCCATATCATAATGTGCACATATTTCAAAACATCTGGTTATATACATGATACATACATATAATTTTTACTTACCAATTTAAATAATTACTTAATCAATTTTAAAACAAAAAAGGAGACAAGTAGTCCTTTCAAGAGGCCAAGGTAACTCTGAGGCAATATAACAATGTATTTTTCTTTCCACATATTTATCTGAGTTTAACTATAACCTTGAAAGATATCTTTAAAATATGTATATTCTAGGCAGGTATTCTGATTATGAGTGAAAAAGTCAAGAGTAAAATTTTAAGTCTGCTAGCACAAAAGAAGGTTGAACAAGTCACTTAATCCTTTGTAAGTAGGACCATAAATTAATCAGAGTTACTATTTTTAAGGTATTTTAAAAAAGAATTAGAGGGGAGAAAAAAATTAATTTTCCTTGGTCTGCTTCTATCCAAAGTATATAGTGCTTCTTAATATTTAATGTGCATATGAATCACCTGGGGACCATTTTAAACTACAGAATGTGGTTCTGTAGGTCAAGGGTGGAATCTGAAGCCTTGCATTTCCAATAAGCTACCATGTTATATTAAAACTGGTGGCCTGAGGAACAGACTTTGGGTAGCAAGTTTAAAAAAAAAATGCATCTAATCTGTTATATCATCTACCACTGGGATTTTAAATACTTTTTTCAAAAATATATTCATTGGGCATTTCTATGTACAAAGACCAAGGGGTACAAAGTTATACATTTACTCTGCACCGTATTTGCAAATTTAATCACTGACCAACAGATATTAAAGATATTATTTTTCAATTACTATTTATAAATAATTAAAAGACTATTTTGAGCATGAATGCTACCTTTCTTCAAAATCTACTAATTGGGAGGAAGGAGGGATGCAGAAATGTGAGTCAATAAATATAAAATTAGATAGAAGGAAGAAGTTCTGATATGCTACTGAACAGTAGAGTAACTAGAGATGATGATAATATACTGATTATTTCAAAAAGGTTGAAAGAAAGGATTTGGAATGCTTTCATCACAAATCAGTGATAATGTTTGAGAATATAGATATGCTTACTCTGATTTTGACATCCTAATTATATATATATATATATATATATATATATATATATATATATGCATTGAAACATTACATAGTGCCCCATTAATACATAAAACCTCTATATTTCAATTTAAAAAATAACTAAGATCCTATCAACTTTGTAACTCTGAAATATAAAATCTCCCAGTCATTTTATAATTATTTTTCAAGTATTTTTGCTAGTATGATGAACAAATGATTATAACTTGAAATTAAAAAATGCTTTATTTGGAGGCTGGGGCTGTAACTTCGTGGCACAGTGCCTGCCTAGCACTTGTGAGGTTCTGAGTTTGATCAATAGCGCACCCCCTAAAATAAACATATAATAAAGGCATGCTGTCCATCTACAACTACCAAAAAATTGCTTTATTTCTTCTTATAAGTAACAAGTCAATTTACCATGTCATGATATCTTAGAGCTCTTTTGAGTGTCTTAATTGAGAAATGCATTGAATTATAAAAAAATGATCCCTTGCCTATTCACTGCTATGTTTTACAGAGATGTGTATGTGTGTATATTTGGCCTCAAATATATGCCATAACAAAAAAAGAAAAATGATTAAAAAATTATTTAGGCATTATCACTACTGCTCCAAGGAAATAACAAAAATTGTAATAGAGTGAAAGTAAATATTAAACATCATGTGAAGTGAAAGTAAATATTAATAAATATCAGTTAGGGTTTTCAAGATGATAGGATAGAGGAGGTCACTTTCCTAGCTGCTCCAGGGTGAGAAACCAAAAAAGCAGACAGGCAGATTCTCTGCAAGGTGGGTGAACAAAAAAGTGGCAGGTGGGGACTTTACTGGAATTAACATCTGGACATTCAGAGTAGATCTGGGACTCAGGAGATTGGATATAACAAAATAAGGGGAAAAAAAAATCCCCAGCAGCATAGCCTCTGCCACAGCCAGGCAGTTCCTCCACCAGGAGGGATAAGGAAATTAAAGGAATCTGCATTTATCAGAGGCCCCAACTGTGATTCCATATTTAGAAGATCCAAAATATTCCACCAGAAAACTTCTATAACTAATAAATGAATTCAGCAAAGTAGCAAGATATAAAATTAACACCCATAGATGCCCTTCAGTAGATGAATGGACAAAGAAACTGTGGTACCCAGTAGAATAGTACTCAGCAATAAAAGAGAATAAAATCATGTCATTTGCATGTAAATGGACTGAGTTGGAGAATATAATGCTAAATGAAGTTAGCCAATCCCCTCAAAAACAAATGCTGAATGTTTTCTCTGATATAAGGATGCTGATTCATAGTGGGGCTGGGAGGGGGAGCATGGGAGGAATAGATGAACTCTAGATAGGGCAAAGGGATAGGAGGGATAGGGGTAGAAAAGATGATGGAATGAGATGGACATCATTACCCTAAGTACATGTACGAAGACATGTATGGTATGAATATATATTTTGTATACAACCAGAGATATGAAAAATTGTGCTCTATGTGTAATATGAGTTGTAACACATTCTACTGTCATATATAATAAATTGGAATAAAAGTAAAAAAATTAAAAATGAAATGCATTTCTATACTTCAGTGATGATTACACTGAAAGACAAATTAGGAAAACTACACCATTCACAATAGCCACAAAATAATAAAATATTTGAGAATCAATGTAACAAAAGAAGTGAAAGACCTCTACAATGAAAACTACAGAACACTAAAGAAAGAAATTTGAAGAAAACCTTAGAAGATGTCCCATATTCTTGGTTGGGTAGGCAGAATTAAACCTGTCAAAATGGCCATATTACCAAAAGCATTATACAGATTTAATGCAATCCTATTCAATTCTTCATTGAAATAGAAAAAGCAATCATGAAATTTATTGGGAAAATAAGAGAACCAGAATATCCAAAGAAATTCTTAGCAAGAAAAGTGAAGCAAGGAGGCATTACAATATCAGACCTTAAATTATATTATAGAGCCATAGTAACAAAAACTACATGGTATTGGCACCAAAATAGACACATAGACCAATAGTACAGAATAGAAGATACAGAGACAAACCCACATAAATATAGTTATCTCATACTAGACAAAGGCTTCAAAAACATACACTGAAGAAAAGATAACCTCTTCAACAAATGGTACTGGAAAAACTGGAAATCTATATATAGCACAATGATATTAATCCCCTATGCCTCACTATATACAATACTCAACTCAAAGTGAATCAGGGACTTAGGCACTAGAACAGAGATCCTGTGCCTAAGAGAGAAAATGTAGGCCCAAATCTCCACTATGTCAGCTTAGGAACTGATTTCTTTAATGAGTCTCCTGTAGTGCAAGAATTAAAATCCAGAATTAATAAACAGGATGCTATTAAACTAAAATCTTCTTCACAGCAAAGTAAACAGCCAATAACATAAAGAGAAAGCCTACAGAAGGGGAGAAAATCTTTACCACACATACCTCAGATAGAGCATCAATCTCCAGGATATATAAAGAACTCAAAAAAACTTAACACCAGAAAAAAAAAAAGAACAAATAACTCAGTCAATAACTATGCTAAGGAACTGAACAGATATTTCAAAGAAGAAGTTCAATTGATCATCAAAAAAATAAAAA